TGCTGTTTCAATTTTAAATGAACTTGTAAACAGTGCTGCAGTAGTTTTCAATGTATGAAGTAAGCCTTATTTATAACATTTAGAACAATGTCTTGTCAGAACCTGTGAGTCATAGGGGCTTATAACACAAAGTTGGCACCTCAATAAAGGCCTGTGTTGTCTGGGGTCTTGGCACTGTAGGAAAGTCCTTTGATGCTTGTTTTTGCATTACAAGACCCTGTGCTGTGTGCTTTATTGGTTTGTTTGCTAGTTTGAACAGTTTACTGTTTATGATGCTTTCCCACCTGTGATTATCTGTATGTCTAATTTAATGAATAATTACACTAAAGAAAGAAGGAATCATATTTTGTGTTTATTTGATAGAAAGGTATGCATGATAATTGTTTTGTGAACTTGGCATTTATTATCCAATCTGAACAGTAGAATTGTTTATTCCAATAATAAAATTGAATATGAATCTATGTATATATTTTCTTAGTCTGTCGTACAGACCCTGAAGTAAATATATCCAAGAAAGACCACGCAAGTCGAGAAAATGTGGCAAGTCTAGATTTCCTCAGCTTCTGAAAATGAAGAAAGTCTCAGGGCTCCTTTTCATTATATTTTTTTTTTTTAACTATGAACTTTCTTTCAGTAATATATGTTCATTTCAGAGACTAGTTGTTAGTCTAACATTTTCTCTGAACTGACCTTGAGAAAAAGAGTGGGACCTAATGTTGATCTCATTATTTTAGAAGCATGGCAAGTATCATGAAGATCCGTGTTAGAACTGCTCTCCATCAACCCATGGTGGTTATAAGGAGCGACGAGAAGTAAACAATACACATGCCTGTCCATGGTATTGTTTAATGAATATATCAGCAAGTATCTTGCCAAGTCATTCACTTGATTTGTTTTGAAGTTCAGTCAGCAATATTCCAGCTATGTCACATTGATAGTCAGCAATATTCCAGTTATATCACAGTGATACAGAACTCGTTCAGTCAGCAATATTCCAGTTATGTCACATTGATATAGAACAAGTTCAGTCAGCAATATTCCAGTTATATCACATTGATACAGAACTCGTTCAATCAGCAATATTCCAGTTATATCACATTGATACAGAACTCGTTCAATCAGCAATATTCCAGTTATGTCACATTGATACAGAACTCGTTCAATCAGCAATATTCCAGTTATATCACATTGATACAGAACTCGTTCAATCAGCAATATTCCAGTTATTCACATTGATACAGAACTCGTTCAATCAGATACAGAACTCACATTGATACTTCGTTCAATCAGCAATATTCCAGTTATGTCACATTGATACAGAACTCGTTCAATCAGCAATATTCCAGTTATATCACATTGATACAGAACTCGTTCAATCAGCAATATTCCAGTTATATCACATTGATACAGAACTCGTTCAATCAGCAATATTCCAGTTATATCACATTGATACAGAACTCGTTCAATCAGCAATATTCCAGTTATATCACATTGATACAGAACTCGTTCAATCAGCAATATTCCAGTTATATCACATTGATACAGAACTCGTTCAATCAGCAATATTCCAGTTATGTCACATTCATACAGAACTCGTTCAATCAGCAATATTCCAGTTATATCGCATTGATACAGAACTCGTTCAATCAGCAATATTCCAGTTATGTCACATTGATGTAGAACTAGTTCAGTCAGCAATATTCAAGCTATGTCGCATTGATATAGAACTAGTTCAGTCAGCAGTATTCCAGTTATGTCACATTGATATAGAACTCGTTCAGTCAGCAATATTCCAGTTATATCACATTGATATAGAACTCGTTCAGTCAGCAATATTCCATGTATGTATGTCTCACAATCAACAAGTCTGGTGGAAGTTGAACGCCATTTTCCTTACAATTACTCTGATGACATTAGTACTTACAGACCACAATATAATGTCATACTGATCACGCCCTTGAACCAGCCACAACCCACCAGTACAGCCCAGTACAGCGCTGTACATTGCCATAATAAGGACACTTACATGGCACGGGCATGCTCTAAGCGCATATACAACATAATGGACATTTTTATCCTTGTTAATCCAAGGTTAATCCACCGTTGGATTTACAGAGAGCATTTTGAAAAATTTGACTATGTGCCAAGCTGCCAAACACGGTCACCCATCCAAGGCGTCACCCTGATCACCTTTGCTCAACTTCAATTGACGTTTGACCAGGGTTCTATCACAGGATCACAGACCACCACACCGTTGAACACATCACTTACCCAAAGTATGTTGCCATACTGGCCACACCGGGGAACCAGTAACACCCTTACAAGTATATGTACGCTAACACTCCTTGTAAACATGCAAATGAGGTCATTAATACTACGTAACCGCCTCCGTGGTGTAGTGGTTAGAGCGTCCGCCCGGAGAGCGGAAGGGTTCGATCCCCGACCGCGTCATACCAAAAGACGTTAAAATATGGTACTTGTTGGTCCCTGCCTGGCGCTCGGCATTAATGGGTACAACAAGGACTGGTCGGCTCGGAGTCAGTATAATGTGTCTGATTGGGGTATCTCAGTGGGCTAGCACTATAAAGCCAGCTTCAGTCTGAGCTAGTTCAAGCAGATACACATACACACGCATGCACGTCGTCATATGAGCGAAATATTCTCAAGTACGACGCTAAACCCACTTTCACATCACCTCACCTCACCTCACCTCAATAATACTACGCTTAAACTCCAATGTAATGTTTACTAGTTTAATAAATCAGTGACCTACTTTCCCCGTAAGCCTTGATTGGGGTTACAATGTGTGGGTGTTGCAGTTGATAAACATGGCTGCAAATCAGTCGATTCATATCATATTGAGTGAGTATTGTGTAACGCCGCTTTATTAATATTGATGGGCTTCATACATTGTATCCATGTGGGCAATGCTGGAAAAATGCCGATGTGACGTAAAGCTCAACTCAACTCAACTCACTCAACCATGTGGGCAATCCGGGTCCTTGGCGTGACGCTTTAACCATTCGGCTACCCCACCGCCCAATATGTAAAACGTAATAGCGAATGATGATCTTTACCTGTTATATACATGACGCCAGGCTGTATTGTAGGAGTATGTCGGGAAACCACCCGTAATCTGAGGCGAGATTTGCAGGTAAAGTGTAGTCAAGCAAGAACAAGGTCATTTCCAAAGCACAGCATGAACGTGTGAAGCTTTGTAAATGCTGTGTGCTCGACACGCACAAGTTGGGTACCCCAGTTTGACTGTTGATCTATTTTGATAATGTTAAAACGAGATATATCTTTCTGTGTGATAGGTATCAGCTCCCCCATGGCATGTCTTTTGCCCTCTATTCCCCATTCTTCTGCCCCCTGCTGTTTTGGAGGTTGACACATTTTTCATTTTATCCGTTTTTGATGTGTAGACACGAGCTTGACTCCTTGTCTTAAATGCTCAATATTATTCAAAATTTTAACTTTGTTTTACTCAAATTAATAGAACTGTTATCGTAACATAGACCGGCCTCTCCCATAGCTTCACATGCATGTTTGTTTTAGATTGATGCATTAAATGACAAAAGAGAAAGAGATGATATAGAAGAAGGAATGTACAGTGCTCCCTCAAACCTGTTTTCGTTATGAATGTATGTACGTTCATAGAGATGAAATACACGCCATTTTAATCAATATGTATATCATAGTTATCATTCACATTAATCAATAGACTGTGTGTAAGTTTGTTTCCAGTTCGTTTACATGCTAGACATGATAAAATGAGAAGAATGATATGTGCTTCACATGGGCAGTTTGAATCCTCGAGTTAACCTTTTCTAAGTAAACCATACAGACTTCATGACAAAATCACAGATGAAACTGTACATGGCGAAACAGCGTTCTTGTTCTGCTAAGTCCTCTAGCTTTGTCTGAGTAAAGAATGTAGCTTATGAAGTTTAAGAAGGCTGTCAAATTCTTACTATTAAACTACGACTGGTGTTTTAACTCAGAAATTGCCACGCATTCTGAAATGACTAAATATTTCCACGTTTAATATCTTCAGAAGTTGACACTGAACAAACACACTAGATGGACCGTGCTCACTGGACACTTCGAAGCTCTCTTAGCGCTAAGATAGTCGTAAGTTAATGTTAATGTATGGCACTTACGACTATCTTAGCGCTAAGAGAGCTTCGAAAATCTAGGCCTTGGTCCTTATTTCAGACGCCTTTTATCCGCCATCTCTATGTCCTGTATCATGGACCTTATATACTCTGCCGTTGACACCACCACTAGTTGTTCTATTCATTTTTATTTTCCAAACAACAAATGGAACCGCTATTGTAATCCCCACATTGAATGTTTTCATGAATGTTTATCCGGACCCTTGCTTAACAGGATAGTATAACAGGATAGTATATATATATATAGAAACATTTATAGAGCGCTAGAATCCAGCAGAAGCTGCTCAAAAGCGCATAAGTTCCAGTACTGTGCCAGATTCTGATGGTGGTAGACTGGACTGTTCTGTGTATCAGATGGTGGTAGACTGGATGGTTCTGTGTATCAGTTGGTGGTAGACTGGACGGGTCTGTGTATCAGATGGTGGCAGAATGGATGGTTCTGTGTATCAGTTGGTGGTAGACTGGACGGGTCTGTGTATCAGATGGTGGTAGATTGGGTGGTTCTGTGTATCCAATGGTGGTACACTGGGTGGCTTTGTGTATCAGATGGTGGTAGACTGGATGGTTCTGTGTATAAGATGGTGGTAGACTGGGTGGTTCTGCGTATCAGGAGGTGGCAGAATGGATGATTCTGTGTATCAGATGGTGGTAGACTGGACGGGTCTGTGTATGAGATGGTGGTAGATTGGGTGGCTCTGTGTATCAGATGGTGGTAGACTGGGTGGCTCTGTGTATCAGATGGTGGTAGACTGGTTGGTTCTATGTATCAGACGGTGGTAGGCTGGGTTATTCTGTGTATCAGATATTTGTTGACTGGATGGTTTTGTATATCAGATGGTGTGTAAATGATGATCTCCGATGAACTGCAACTTAGGCTATCATCTTTGTCGCCTTGAATATACAGAAAATGAACTTGTTTAATTAAACAATAGGTAACTATATGAATCCACTCAGAGACACAACGCGTTACAGGGGATGTTACTTGGGATGTTACACAGATGAACAAAGAAGCTGCGGGCCTTGTTTTCAGATAAACATTTAAAGTGACATCCGTGGACAATACTAGGACTCTATTGTAGATATATGTAAAGTGAAGATTTCTTCACCGTTTTTGACAATTAATTAGTAAGCGTCAGTGTCTTCAGAATGTTTGTTCCTGACGTCTAAACTAAGATACACCAAGCCATCACATACCCATGTGTAAAGGCCACCTGCTGCTGCTGACACAGTCACAACTCTTTCTAGTGAGCATTCCTGGAGCATTGTCCTGGCTTTGGCCACAGTGTCCGGGGGTATGGAGCTGGCGTCCATGTTCTCCATCTGCTGCTGTAGACCATCCTTCCCCGCACCAGCCATCACACGCAGGCATACCTTATAGTTCTGGAGGAAAACCAATAATACATAAATGTAAGGGATATAACCTCGGAAAGACACCGATCGTCAGACTGGGACAAATGTCCTTTATGTTGACAATATATTCAATAGCATCTGGCTACGATAATACCCGTTTTGTCACATGAATTGTTCCACGCATAGATACATATTCCACAGATATTACACTGTATATATGTATAAGCCCCTCCCACCTCAACATCCACATCTCCCATCTCTCCCCTGTATCACGGCATGTCTTACCCTACCTCAGCCTCCTTCTCCAGGTAGCCCACAGTACCTCAACATCCACATCTCCCATCTCTCTCCTGTATCACAGCATGTCTCACCCTACCTCAGCCTCCTTCTCCGGGTAGCCCACCTCAACATCCACATCTCCCATCTCTCCCCTGTATCACAGCATGTCTCATGTCTCACCCTACCTCAGCCTCCTTCTCCGGGTAGCCAACCTCAACATCTCCCATCTCTCTCCTGTATCACAGCATGTCTCACCCTACCTCAGCCTCCTTCTCTGGGTAGCCCACCTCAACATCCACATCTCCCATCTCTCCCTGTATCACAGTATGTCTCACCCTACCTCAGCCTCTTTCTCTGGGTAGCCCAGCAGGAGGAGTGTCACTGTCAGGAGGTCTTTAACCAGCTGAGGAGGATGGCTTAGTGACTTCAGTTCCTGGACATCCCCTTTTTTTAATCATAGTTGGTGGTGCCTCTTTGTTTCTTAACTTGCTACTGCGTGATCTGTAATACAGAATAGAAACGAATAAAACCGTTTCTTTTCCCAATTAGTTGCGTTACTGATACGGATTGGCCTGCGTTACCAGGTTTCGGCTTGGTGGACAATAATCTTTATTCTAGTTAGATTTCCTTCTTACAATAGAGACCTGTGAAGATCCGGGTTAGAATTGATCTTCAGCAACCCATGCTTGTCTTAAGAGGCGACTAACGGGATCGGGTGGTCAGGTTCGCTGACTTGGTTGAGATATGTCATTGTATCCCAATTGCGTAGATGGATGCTCATGCTGTTGGTAAGTGGATTGTCTGATCCAGACTATTTACAGATTATTTACAAACCGCCACCATATAGCTGGAATATTGCTGAGTGCGGCAATCGCACTGAATGATCAACGTTTCATGTCACCTATTTGGGACAAGAACGGTTGTAGTATGTCTATGAAAACTATACATTATCAAGATACATCTCTTAATGGCAAGATGAACGACATCTTCCCAGAACTGTTTGGTGTTATCCACAAAACTACCCCCACAGCTACACCAAATGCCTATAGGAATGTACTTACCTGCCCCCTTCAGGTATGAGTTTAGCCACTGTTGTCAGGCTTTATATATCAAAGGGCCACTCTAGAATGGTCAACACGTATATAGGTATGAGCAATGCGGTGTGGTCAGGTTATGGTATGTGGTAATTCTGGAAATCCCCAGAAACGTAATCCGGTTTCTGAAGCCTGAGCCAATTCAGTGTGAACAATGTTCTTTACAATGGGGATCAAAACATAACAATACTGAACTGCCAAACACGTGACAGCTCAACCGGAAAGTGTTGACCCCGGTGTGTCTGTACTCTCATGTAGACAGGTGCCTTACATGCACAGGGAAGATTTGAAACTAACATTTGTTAGTTAAGTGATCATTTGCTGTGGATGTTTAATGACCACAGGAATATTAGCTATTTAGAATACATTATCTAACACTGACGTACATTGTTATGTGGCATGGTAATTCATGATTAAAGTTGTAGTTGTATTACTTTGAGGTCAGTGGTGTGCTAGTTATTATACACATAGAAAAAAGTACCGCTACACTTATGATTTTGAGTGGCATTTTCGAAGTTGGGCAGTACAATATTGACAAACTTTATGGATAAAAACTTCTTTATTTGTACATCTCTGACCTCGATCACTTCCTTTCGTTCACTCTCTGGCTTTATCATCTCCTAACCAAATATATGTTCAATATCTTGTTTTCTGCGTTACATTCAGTATATCTCTCCACTTAATGTTACATTCCTGCTTGACAACGGTACACGGATCTGTGTCGAAACGTCGCACTCGCGAAATAAAAGAAGTTGTTATCCATATAGTGTGTCAGTATTGATATTAACATAGCCATTTACATTCATTGCATAATTAAGTTTGTTTGTATGATTAGTTTAACCTTCCAGGCGTACTGAATTTGGATATGCACGTGCTACTATCAAAGGCGAGCATCCCGCTCAGTACGTATATCCGTCATTAAGCAAAAATCAAATTTCACTAAACTGTTCTTACAGCGCGATAACTTGGAAAATCAATTCATTTCGTTGTTGATAAGCGCATATGGGTCTCCTCAACTGACAAATGTACAAACATGGCATTTTATCGGTATTAGGAATGCTGGCATGCCCCTTGAGGGCTATTGCATGATCACCATCCATGTACTATCAGCCGATTTGCCAGAAGACATCAACAAATTAATGACGTTAGGTATTGTCAGGCTTCATCCGTCCATGTCAAATGGCCTGTTAAAAACAGAGCGGCTTCCACATCAAGGTTTGTCCAACAGAACATTCCGAATTTGCCTAAAATGGCTCGGGTACAGAGATAGAGTACCTTCAGACGTCCATTGATATCCAAGAGCACAAAGCAGCATGACTAACTTGGTGTTAAGCTCGACGTCACGTCGTAGAGAAAAGGTCAACAGGACGGACGAAAGACGCTTTCGTTTGTTCATGACTGATGGCCGGGTTCGTGTTTAGCGCTGCAGAAACACTGCACATGTACAAGGGAATATCTTTGAGCAAGTACCCATTAGAGGATTTTTATTGATGGTGTTGGGATGCATCTAACGTGATTATTTTTGTAAACTTAACCTTGTGATGATTAGACAAAAACTGAATGGACAACGATATTTTATTGTTGTTGTACCACATTTCGATGACCATCCCCCATACACAAGGCAGTTCTTCATGGACGACAATGCTAGTCTACCCAGTACACGTGTCATTGGTTTTTTGTTACATCAAAAGGCGGAAATTACTCTACTTTGAGTCCAGAACTCAATCCCATGGACCATGTTTGGCTAATTATGGCTCGCAATATACTACGGAGAGATCCTCCAGAACAAATACTTGATGTATTGGAACCAGCTCTCCATCGACAATGAAACACAATACCTAAACGTCTGATACAATCAGTGAGGAGGAGGTTCAGGGATGTTATTGTAGTTGACGAAGTTTCCACCAGATACTGACATTGTGTTGGGTTCTAAACTATTTGCGATATATTTTAGGACTGTTTGCCAGAATCTTGAAAATGTCCGCACTTTTCAGCACTACTCAATTTTGCCATATTGGCTTCTCTGAATGAACTGTAGTTTTTCGTTCTTTGTTTTGCGTTTAGATTTGCCATTTAATCATTCCTTGTGTGTCAGTTTATCCAAAACTAAGCTCAATCTGGGTTTTGATAAGATCCTTATCTATGGTTAATGGTAACATATATATGAATGTTAGAATACAATTTGAACTGTATAATATTTCTTTGTTGTTCGTTGGTTTCAGACAGTTTCTTTTGCGGACAGATATCTGATGAACTTTTTGTTTCTTGAACCCAACAAAATATTATGGTCGTCCCAGTGTGGGAATTGAGGTTTGCCAGGAGACCTACACGCAGATCTGCAGTTACTATAGTTCCACACAATGTACGCAACAGGTCTATACTACTATTTTACATCTCCAACAAGGACGAGCTGTTGGCAGTGGGTGGGGTAGGGATTGGAGGGGTGGGGTGGGGTGAGTATTGTTACTGGTTGACAGTGACCCTTATCCCCTGACCACCTTCGTTATGAAATTTTCGGTTCCTGGTCTCAGTATTCGTTACATATGTTTCCCCTCAGCTATTCACAGAGTTAAAAACTTCAAGGGCCTTCCCATCAAACGTACCACTTCCAAGCACACACTTCGGTTGAAATGGTGTTTCGAAGAAAAATATAATTATGACAAAATTTAAATTTCCTTCCTCACCATAATAGATTTGGAGGGTTCTGAAGAGGTTTGGAAGTATGACACCTGAGAATGGTTCCTCATTTGTCAAGAAGAAAAACACATTCTCCATTTCAGGAGAATCTCTCGTTTCAGATCACCAATCAGTCGGTACATTGAAGCTTGTTTAGAAAACGTTTTTTCCTCCTTTTTCTCAAATAACGTTACCCGCGTGTTTCTACTTTGACTGGTGTCACTGGCAGAGAAAATGGTGGTTCTTATCTTCAAGGATCATCCATTCGCCAGAGCCGAGAACTGTCATAAAAAAATGTCCTTTTCCTTGATAAAGTGATTCATGAGAGCTATTATGAAATAGTATCTATTCCGTTCATCGTGTGTTTGAGTTCCAGAATCATGTGTCATCTCTGATCCTTGATTTGTCAATATCATACAAATGCTCGCTATTTCAAAGGAAAACGCCTCTTCTCTGCGTCGCTCTCCCGATAGTTGACATTATGTGAAATAGAGTTAAGAGAATGCCAAACGTACTCACTCACTGTGCAGGCAGAAGGTACATGTGAATCTCTTTCAGTTTATGCACAATCCTGAATGAGTATGTGCGTCCGTGCGTGTGACTGAAAGGTGGATATTAATATCGTCTTCACTGTCTGCTTAAGCCTTGGCGACCAGCTTTTCATCTGTTCAGTTGATAGCTGTGTCAATCATGGGTGTCGTACTTCAGTTTTAGACGAAGTCGTATATATTAATTCACAAATGAAGAGATTTCAATCAATGTATATCATATAGAACAACAACTCTTACCTGGTATGTAGAACATATTTTACTATCGTTGAACTTGTCATTGACCATGAGCAAATTATGCTGAGAGTGTCCATCTCATGACCAGTTCAAGTGCTCAGTCCTGAGCTGGAGACGTCAGAACAGTGGACCGGTGTGCAATAGACTGGCAGCCCTAAAGATCGCACAAGGCCTGGGATGCCGCTCCACCAGCAGATTGTTGTTCAGAGCTAGAGTGTCAGCACAGACCACCAGGATTCGACTGTGCACAGACACATAAGACCATACACATGACCTGTCCTGACACGATTTCATTGTGCTCCACGTTTACGGTGGATATCAAGTTTGTTTTAAATTTGGTTGGGTATGTGAACTTCAAAATAGGAATAGATACAGTTTATTCATTTTGTTTATTGATCACATAAAACATATTACAACCAGACACGGTCCTTTTTAGGACCAATACTTCTTTTGGTCTTATTTTGTGTGCTAAAATGAAGAGAAAGAGAAACAAGAATGTGAATAAATGGCCATAAATACTCATAGACATAAAGACAAATATATATATTCCTTTGTATCATTGTGAATAAAGCCTCTGGTTATGTGTATCAGATGGTGGTAGGTTGGTTGGTTCTGCGTATCAGATGGTGGTAGACTGGGTGGTTCTGTGTATCAGATGGTGGTAGACTGGGTTGGTTCTGTGTATCAGATGGTGGTAGACTGGATGGTTCTGTGTATCAGATGGTGGTAGACTGGTGGGTTCTGTGTATCAGATGGTGGTAGACTGGATGGTTCTGTATATCAGATGGTGGTAGACTGGCTGGTTCTGTGTATCAGATGGTGGTAGACTGGTTGGTTCTGTGTATCAGATGGTGGTAGACTGGTTAGTTCTGTGTATCAGATGGTGGTAGACTG